TCATGGAAGTGTTCTCAAAGCTGGTAAAGGTGCAGCTAGTTTGAATGACTTTGTATACTGCAAGTAGGTAGCTTGTGGATTTACTCCAGGTGGAACTAAAGTCTGATTTCACACTTGATTATATTTCACATCATTCATCCACATCTGTAAAGTAACTAAAGGTATTAAATACATGTAACTTTTAAATTGTAGTAGAGTAGAACTAGAAAGTAGCAAACAATTAAACTCAAGTAAAGTACAAGTACCTCAAAATTGTACAGTACTTGAGTAAATATACTTAGTTACTTCCCACCTCTGATTGTTAGTCTGTACCTCAGGACGAGTGGCTTCACTCCAGAGTAAATCTGATCTCTGATCAGGACGATGTTGAGTAGAAGTGTGCCTTTGTGTTTGACCTGACTGTACTCTGGGTTGTGTTATTGTCCAGGATTCCTGCCCACCTACCTGCTGCCGGCCTATGAGGAGGTAGTGGACCGGCCTGTCACCGCCCCTCCTCCCTACACACCCCTGCAGTCAGCCCCCCCGCCCACAGACCCTGCTGAGGACTCTCCTTGCCCCAACCTCAGCGTCTCTGTTGGCAGTGATGCTGATACAACGCTGCCTCCAGAGGTCCCACTCAGCCCCCTCCACAGCGCCTCTCCCCCCAACAAGGACTCGACCCCGGCCAGGTACCGGCGCTTCACAGGGGATTCTGGGATTGAAGTGTGCGATGGCCAGGAACTGTGGGATCAGCACAGCTTTATAGAAAGAGAAGTAACGGAGGAAGAGGGGGTGGGGAAAATGGAGGAGCCATGTGATGGATTTGAACATGTCAGCAGACACACAGAGGTGGAAACAGAGCCACAGCCTCACAGCTAATGCTAGATAAAGACTCACAGCAGACACTGATGCAGGGCTGAAGCTGTGTGCTGAGCAGGTGTGTGGGACAGGCCTAGAGACAAATGAAAGGCAATGATACACACATTGCCCTATTATACCATTAAAGCTTGACCAACTGAAGCTTTGCAGATTCTGATACTTTACTTTTTTTTTTAAAAACTATGTAAACACATATTTATACATTTACAGGAAAACTTATGAACACATTTATTCCTGAAAGAATTGCAACCAAGATCCATACCAAGCAGAAGTTAGAGTATAACATTTATTTGAGATTGTGGCTCATACACTGATACTGTAAATGGGTGGTGAGCTGATGTCCGCCTGTTGTCTAATGCTAGCTATATCAATAACCAGGACTCTTCAGCATCAATGTGATCAAGTACTTCAAGTGTCTATTAGCCCAAGCAGGTGTTGGTATAGCAATGAATGATAGCTTTGGCTCACGTCAGTCTGAGCTCCATGCTACTCTTGGTGTAAACACACAGCTTCTGAACAGGAGTGCCATGTAGCAACATGCTGTACATCAAGTTTCAACATCCCTGACAAACCTAGAAAACAACTAGTTTTTGAAGCATCATTACCTTCTTCGTAGATGCATTTGAATTCACACTTGTATCCATGAGACATCATAATGCCACTCATGGTGGCAGAGCTCAGGTCCATAGCAGCATGTGACTTGTGAAGCAGAGCCACAGCAACACAGACAAACTAATGCATGTTCTGCATTGTTTCTCAATGAAGCTCCACTCCTGCTCTCATCAAAGCATTTACCAGGGAGACTTAGAGAAGTAAGAGGGAGCAGGTGTACATGAACTGCATACATCAGAAGCACAACTAACTATTAATATCAGGGTTTATTGCTAAATGTCATTCTAGAAAATAGCTTCATGGTGAAATCTGTCCCTTTCAGCCTTTAAAGTGTGCTACACAGGATGGGATCTGACAATCATGGGATGGTTTGTTAAGGACATTTGACCCTATATATATATCTATATATATATGTGTATAAGGCTATTGATGTCCAAGGCAAAGAAACAGCTGACCAAAGGATCCAAAAATACCCTTAAAACAGATAAAGAGTTGGCACTGCCAATAAGCAGTGCATTAACCAAAAGACGCACCGGTCCAGGTTATGGAGTAACTAAAGGAAGGCTTTTGCATCAGATCCAACCAGAAGTGGGAGTGGGGGGGAATGGAAATCAAATAGGCTAATATGGGAACAAATTGGACAGTAAAATTAAACACAAGGACCTTAAAACAATCCCCAAAATAGTTTGGACGGTGAGGAGAGAAGGAGAGTGGATGATCCACAGGCAGAGGAGGAGGAGCTGTGATTGGGCAGGTTAGAGAACAGTCTTCCAGAACACTTGATCATTTTGATTAAGGCCCCTCTTCTTCTTCGAGTCAAGTATAGTCATTGTAGCACAGTAAGACCAGTGCAGTGTGGAATGATGCTAATAATGCTTCTTTTACAGATGGCTAGGACCACACACCGAAGTGTTTCTAGAGAGCATTTGTTACTTCTCTCTTGGAGTTGACTCAGTTCTAAGTTCTTATTTTTTCTGTTAGGCCTAAGAGTTTATTTCCTCATTAATGAACCAGTTTGTTTAGAATTGACTGTAAGAACTCTTTCACTACCAATTTGGCAAAAACAAAATACAATTAAAAAGCAGAAATGTCCTCAGGTCAAAACACAAGATCAATAAACAAACAATAACCACTGGTGTGTGGTTTCTTGAAGACTCTCCCTGAAGCACATGACAGAAAACCTGACCCGTTGTACGACAGTGCAAAGTGTGTAAACATATCACCTTACGCACCTGAAGAGAACAGGCAAAAGCAAACAGGTTGTCGCTGATCAACTCACTTCGTATCGTCCACCGAGTCTCCTAACCAAAGTGCTCTAGAGTCAGCAGCACAAAATGTATTTTTACCACCAAGAAAGGAGAATATGAAACGTCAGTTCCTTATTCATACGGTTATTGTGAAGCCCTGTAATCATTAGGCGTGTGGGCATGAGGACCAAGATGAGACGTTGTGAATTTGATGTGGTTTTTGAATGAGTCAACAGCACAGAAAAAGGCTTTTATGTCTTAAAAATAACTACGTTTATTATAACAGCATTTAGATATTTCCTCAGTGTCACACACAGCAAGGGCAGAGTTGTATACTTTAAACATCACTTTCATAGCAGTCTTGCATTTTGGATATGATGAAAGGGATATGTTTACTGCAGCAGAACGTTCAGCCTTCATCAGCCTCATCCTCCAGCAGGAAGTCTCTGATCTCCTCCCTCAGCTGAGACCTGCAGGACAACAGTCACATGCGTCATGCTCGATTCTAAAAAGGGAGAAGCACAGCTCTGTGTTCCTAACTGATTGTTGTACACTGACCTCCGGAGCCTCCTCTCAGCCTCCGACAGGATGTACTGCGGGAGAACCTTCTCAGACGACTGGTGAGAGAACAGATCAAGAGACAGGGACACGATAGGTGAACGTCAGTAGGATTACAAAAATAAAAAGCATATTTTTAATTCACGAGAGAAAATAATGAAGATCTAAACTGAACAAACGGCTAAAAGTTTCATTTAAGTGCTATGATGTGTATTCATGTATTATTATTTTGAAGTACTTGTGTGTACTTTATGATGTAACTATCTATAGACACATCAGATGAATATGAAGTCAGTTATAAGGTCATTTGCCGAGGTATTTAGAATATTGTGAGTGTGAGAAGTCAAATGTCTAACTCAATAGTCCTCAGTGTATTGAAAATGTGATGGATAGATTATAGTCTAATGATGTATGACATCATATTCTGTGCAGGTTGCAATGATGGAGGGATGAAAGTGAGAGTAATCGTGTAAAGAAAGCTACTCATTCTGCACAACTATCATATTTACCAACAGCAGGCACATGGTCCTCCTCATTGAGTAATTTGACCCCTGCTCATGGAATTTTCAGTGAGAGATGATGCATGATGGGAATCTGTTTTCCGTCTTGTGCTTTTAATGTAAATGTCTTAGTGAAATCAAATGAATGAATTGGAAGGTGCCACAGAATCGTTATTTCTGTCTTCACTTAAGTTATATTAGTTTATTTAGTGATTGTCAGGGCTACTATTATGGTTTTTATATTTCAAAAGGACTTTCAAACACTTTCAGTGACCCGTGTCTATTTTTAAAACTTCAAGAGCTGGATTTTTTTTCCCCTCAAAGTCAAACATTAAATGATTTAACGGACCCCCGGGACCCCTGTAACGACAAATACAAAGTTTAGATTGTGTCCCTCACCATGTCTTTGATGGTCAGCTGACAGCTGTAACACAGCAGACTCTTCAGGGGGGGGGGCTCTGAGGCTCTGTCACACAACAAAACCACCACAGCATTTATTCATATTATTTAGTTTTTGTGTCCGCTTTCCAATTGCACCCAAAAAATATAATGATATCACATGAAAAGACTGAGAGCAGCATCACGGATCCTGTCTTCTAGTCTCGATACAAGACACCTCCAAAAGTCCATGGCACACTATACTTAGAATACTTTCACTATTTGCCCCGCTGCAGACTGTAACACCACTGCTGAGAGATAAAAATACTACGAGCAAAACACACTAGTTATAACTGCCTGCTACTTTAATACTTACTATTCATTAATGTAGCTACTTATTTTTTTACCATGTATGTGTACTTATTTGATTACATCTTATAAACGTATGCTCGCCTCTTTGTTTATGATGTTAGCCCACTCTTTTGAGTTTACCATTTAAAAAAGGACTTCTGAGTCCAGCAACTCCCGTGTTCTCATCAAGGTAGTCCTCAGGCTTTAAAGGTCTCCTATTATGATATTTTTAGGCATATATTATTTGCTCAAAATACCAAACAGATCATGCATTTTAGAAATCCCTCATATCCCTCTGTTTCAGCCGCGTTAGAGAACTGCTGATCTGGGTCCTTAGCTTGAAAAAAAAAAAAAGAGGAGGGGGAGCTTGTGCATGCTTAAAATTCTACCCAGAGACTCAGCTAAACGCCATCATGTTCCAAACCACATCAAGGATTATTTCTGAAACAGTATGGAGCTCAAATGCTTCTTTTTTTCTCTGGTTTACCACAAGGTGATTTCCTTTTTTTATTTCCTGCTTTTTTACACATACTCTCTCCAGTACAGGTTAGCTCTGAGTGTTAGCATGCTAATGTAAAAAAGGCCATATTACATCCAAAACAGTCGGGCATTGATTCTGATACAGCAACTTTCTGATAGCAGGGTATATGCAGGAATCCTGAAGTCAAATTTAATACCTTTTAAGACCTTTTTTAAGACCCTTTCCATACGTTTTAAGACCTCATCGCAACTTCGAGTTCTAACCGGTTACATTGGCAACACACTTTACCTCACATTTACTATATTGATTGTAAGACAGCACAACTAAACGGAGTGCAGACAGACTACTGAAGCCTCCTCTCCACATGAACTTCAACCTCTCTGTGAAGGTCAGGTTTAATGCAGTATTCTGCTTTTTTGCTTCTGTACTCTGTGCTCTTTCATTCCAGTAAAACTCCTCAGAAACCATTAGAAACCAGTATTCGACCAATAAACAAAACAATTGACAAAACTTTGAAATATATTAAACTTTGGTGAGCTTCAGCGGGGTAATGCCATATAGGAGCTCCCTCACAAATACCCAGGGGTTAAATTGGCCCTGCACATAGGACGATGCTCTGACGTCATCACCCTCACACATTTGTCATATGTTTACACAAAACGACATATGTTAAGACTTTTCTCGTTCTTAATATAGACTATATTTAGGATCGATATGTGTTGACTTTACTTTAAAATAGCAGATCTCTGTGACCGGACATAGTTTGGCTTAGTGAACATGTGTCTCTTCCTTGGAGGAGCAGCATCGCCCGGACTCCGCAGCTCCTCCGCGGCTCCTCCGTGCAGAGAGCCTGCACTGCAGCGGTGTGTGTCAGCGACGTGCAGTCAGGGGAGGCACGGATTGGCCATCAGGAGAATCGGGACTTAAACGCCGCGGCTTTCTGGCTAGCACTTAGCATGTGGGACCGGACAGCTTTGATCCCCATCGACAGACTCTCCACCCCCCCCCCACAGA